CTCCTAACTTTATTGTGTCATCACCTTCCTCCGCTTCCACCTCCTACTCCACCTCCTGTTCGATCATGCCCGCTCCCTTCCCGTCCCGTCCCGCCCCACACGTCCACTCCCTCGATCTTCCCACGCCATTTCGCCCGCCCCCCCGCCCCTCGTTTCCCCCACTCACCCCCAAGCCCCCCCCCCCCCTCCTCCTCCGCGCCAGCATCCTCTCCTGCCACCCCTCCTCCTCCTCCTCCTCCTCCTCCTCCTCCTCCTCCTCCTCCTCCTCCTCCTCATTCCCCTGCTCCTCCTCCTCCTCTGCCCCCCATATATCGTAGTTGAGCGTGCTCGCGCCCTCGGACGTGACCCAGGGCCGATCCGACGCCGTCGACTCACGGTCGACGGCCCACTGCCAAGACAGCGGAGCCGCATCACGAGGGTCCAGGAACACGATTTCTGATTTTCAAGAGCTGTAAGCGCTGCGTTTCATGCTTTCAAGAGGCGCCGTGAGCCACCACGCACGTCTGATAGCCGCTCTGGCGATATGAGCGGCGTCGAGCTCGACTGCGCTGGCCACCCAAGTGTCAAACGGCGACCAGCGCCTGAATTCAGCAAGATTGTCTCACTGAGCAGCATCTCGAGCGCGAAATCGCTCCTGAAACATGCCGCGACGAGGCTGCCAAAATCCCAACGCAACCCTTGAAATCCCAACGCAAATCCCAACGCAATCCCCATATCAAATCCCAATGCATTATCCCTGTGAATTTACAGGGTTTCGTGAAATCCCAACGCAAATCCCAACGCAAATCCCAACGCAAATCCCAACGCAAATCCCAACGCATTGGGATTCTGAATTTGGTGTGTGTTTGGCCCGCCCCACGCGTTGGATCACGTATTTCGTGTGCGGCTCCGTTCCCCAGCCCCGACCTGCCCTCGGAGAGCGGCCGCCTACCTTCGACCAGGCGCCCATCGCCCTCACACCCGTGCCCGCTCCAGAATTCATTCCCCCCCCCTACCTCCCAGATCAATGGCAGGCAGCTTGCACTGAGCGGCGAGCTGTGCACGTGCACATCGTATCGGACGCGCAGGCGTCCTCAGTCGGATGTGCTACCACCCTCGGGGTGCCTGATGTTGCGGATCCCGTTGATCTTCTCGATGCGCTTGGCGATGCCGTCGATGAACCTGGACAGGGAGATCAACTCGGCGATGGCCCCGGGGTAGTCGGAGCCCAGGGTGGCCTTCAGCTTGCCGAAGTCGGTAGACACGCATTTGCTGAGGATCTTCGACTCCATCACCTTCTTCGACAACGCCGCCATGTCACCCTCCAAGGCAGCGTACTCGGGGTCGTCCTTCTCCTGGCTCCACTTGGCGTCGTGGGTCACGCTGTAGACCAGCGTGTTGGCCTGGGCCGACACGGTAGCGTACCTGGCCAGGGTCTTGCGCGCCTTCGCGATCTCCTCCTTGGCCGTGGGGGATGACACAGGGGGATCGCCAGCACTGCCGCTGTCCCCGCCTGCTGCCGCGGCACTCCCGCGGGCACCACGGCCACCTCCTCCCTTGGGGCGCTTCTGGGCGGGGGGCTTCGCGACCGTCGGTCGTTCCGCACCCGCGCGGTCACCTCCCGCCTCCGCGCGGTATCGTCCGCGCCCCGGCCACGGGTCCGACGCCGGTCCGACCCGTCTCCACCCGCCGCCGGTCGCACGGTAACATCGCCGCGGTAATCCTCCCGCCGGTAGCGCGAAACGGTCATCGCGGCACGCGATTCGCGTTTGCGGTCGCGGGCGGTACGGTTTCACGGTCGCGGTACCGCCGCGGTCCGCCGGTCCGCGCGTCCGTCCTCTCGGCGCCGATCGGTCACGGTACCGGTCGGCGTCGCGGTACTTCCCGAGTCCAGCGGTCTCCACACGGTCGACCCCGCCAGTACTGTCCACCCGCGCCTCGTCCTCCGCGGTATCAGCAGAACCAGCCCCGCCGCGGCGACGGCGGGGGTTGTCAGGCCCGCGGGCCGCGGCGGCCGCGGCGGCCGCGGCGGGTGCGCCGTCGCCCCCTCCGCCTGCCTCAGCCGTGCCTGCCGCTGGCTCTGCCACGGCCTCCTGCGGCTTAGCCCTGCCTGCCGATGCCTCTGCTTGCGGCGGCGCGTCGGCCAATGCCTGTGAGAGACATAAAAGCTAACCGTTCTGGAGGCCCCTCCTCCTCCCCCCTCCTCCTCTTCCTCCTCCTCCTCCTCCTCTTCCTCTTCCTCTTCCTCCTCCTCCCGCTCGATCCGCCTCATCCTCCTCCTCCTCCTCCTCCACCTCGTCCTCCACCCCGTCGTCGGCGTTGTGGAGCGCGACCCTGCAGGGCGGATTACCAGGCCAGGCCCAACCCAAGACGGCCCCGACTTTGGATTGGCATTGGCATACTGCCAGGCGAGGTGAGGTTTGTTCTCCAGGCCGGGGCTAACCAAATATCACTGTGGTTTAGGGCGGTCCCGAAAATGATTTGGACTCGTGTCCTTGTTCTGGTAGTTCGAGCTCCAGGTCTTGTGCATCTCCCATGCCTCGCTGAAGGTGTGGATGAAACCCTTCGATGGCGCGCTCGCTCGTCACCCTCCACTCCCCTGCCTCCCTTTCCACTGACCCCTCATCCACTCCGACTACCCGCCATCCGACCTCCATTGAGCCATCCTCCATCTGTCGTTACCGCATTCCCCGACCCTCCTCCCACTGGCTACCCACCTCCGCCGATCCCTTCCACACATCTCCCTCCGAACCCATGGCCGATCGGACCGATCGGTCGATCGGGTCGCTCGACCCGATCGGGCCGATACGTTGATCGAGCGTGTGGTCAGCTAGGGCCGCTGCGGTCTCGATGCACAGGGCGCGGAGAGACTCCGTGAAGCCGCACCACACGATCCAGGGCGGGCCCAGAATGATGCAGCGCAGGAAGTATCGGCACGCCTGGGCTTGATCTCTCTCGACCCCTCCATTTCCCCGCCTTCCCCTCTGAAGCCGCTCCCCCCATCCAGGTGGCCCTTGCCCTAGGGAAGGGGCGTCTCGGCGCCCTCGCGCCTCCAAAGGGGGGGGGCCGACGGACTACCCCTAGCTGAAAACATCATTATATCATGCCATGTCTCCGACTCCGTTTCCGACTACGACAACTGCCACCCCCCCCCCCCCCCACCCCCCCCCCCCCCCCCCCCCCCCACCCCCCCCCCCCCCACCCCACCCCACCCCCAACCCCCACCCCCCCATACCCCCCCACCCACCACCCACCACGAAATTACAGTGGCCGCCCGAAGGGGCGACCCCCAACGTTTGCGCACACCGCGCCTGCTGCCATCCGAGGACGCCTCCGCCCTCCTCTTGCGCGATGCGGCCGATCGGGCGAAACTTGTCCTCCCTGAACTCGGATTTGACCTCCGACTTCACGTGGGTCTTTTTCTCCTTGGGAGACGGGGTCACACATTCCAAATTGTGATCGGCCCATTTCCAGGGTACAGCATTCTAGGTGGTGTTTGGCCCGAGTTCGGTATACAAAATCCGATGGGATGTTTGGCCCGACGTCTGGTTACAACATTACATGACTCAGCACTGACAGCGGGAAGGGAGGGAGAGGGATAGAGGGGGAGAGAGAGAGGGAGAGAGAGAGAGAGAGAGAGAGAGAGAGAGAGAGAGAGAGAGAGAGGGGGCACCGAAGCAGAGGGACGGGCAGGGTGCATGGGGAGGAGTGATCGATAGGGGTATAGACAGGAGGAGTGTGAGTGAGAGCGAGTGGGAGGGATAGAGAGATCGCAGGAGCGGGAGTAGACGGAGAGTTTTATAAAGTGAGATTGGGGAGCGAGTGCGAGTAGAGATAGAGATATGCGCGACTGGAGAGCAGAAAAAAATAGATATTCACGCCGTCGCTCCAGCAGCTCTTGGTACTCGCCCTTCGCCCACTTGATGCGGAAGTCAGCCTTCCGCTTGTTAACCCCCGCCCCCTTCGGGATCCCCGCGTAGTCGGCCTTCAGCTGGCTGCTATCGGCAACCGCCCGCTGCCACCTCCCCATCAAAGCGATCTCCGCATCCGTTAGCCCACCCGTGCCGTGCTCCAGGGGGACGTGGAATCCTTTGGCTTTGATGACGTCCCACATCTTCAGCTCCTCCTCCATCGTGCCCCTGTTCCTGCCAACCGCCCGATCGAGCTCCTGCTTGTTCTCCACGGCCTTGTCCTTCCCCTTGCCGAGCCCCCACTTCGCCGCGTCCGCGAGCACCCCGTCTTCCCCGATGTCCCCCTTCAGCGATTGCATGCACGTGTCCATGTCGGGGAACCCCTTCTCCGACATCACAACCGACAACCCGGGGCTCTTGTAGAGCTCGATGGCCGCCCCGTTGATTGCGAGCTGGTCGATGTCGCCGCCTGCAAGGGAGTGCTTCACGATATCCTGGCGGTGCGTCGGGCGTGCGGTAGCTGCTTCCCCGCCCGATGCTACCAGCTGACCCCCTCACTGCCCGACCTCCGCCTCATCATGGCTGATACCGACCCCTCACCCCATCCCTCTAGTCCCGTCCCCCATCCCGTTCGACCTCCTACTCTGCCCCATCCCCACCCTCTCTCCACGCTCAAACGTCTCGCAACTTGCGAACCGAAACCGAAATCCCAATGCAAATCCCAATGCATTGGGATTTGCATTGGGATTTCGGTCGCCCCTGGAATCCAGCCAACTTGTCTGGCTATGTGTTGCCTGCCGTGGCGGGCCAGCGGATCCACGTGACGATATCGAGCCAACAATTGTCGACGTCGGACCGAACCTAGCAGGATCGCTCGAGCGAATAACTGCCGCCTGACCCCTCATCTCTGATCTTGTGGACGGGAGCGAGGGTGTACGCAAGTGGAGGAGGTGTCGGGTGGAGACGAGACTGAGACGTGCTGAACGTAAACGCTGAGGCTACAAGGGAGAGGTCTGTCGGGCATGTGATGGGATGACTTGCGATGATGTGATGTGCGGATATGGGTTTGCACGCGCTCTCCTATCTACAGTGATGCTTCTGTGCGGCATCTTACCACGAAGACTCGCTGCCAGGGCTGGCATCGCCTGGGCAGAACTTGTTCTTCGGCTTTGCTGCTGGCGACGCGGCTGCTACTGGCACTGGCTGCGATGGTTTGACAATCGGCTTGGCGGTGGGAGGCGCAGCAGCAGACGGCGATTTCACCTTCGGCTTCTTAGGGCTTGGCGTCACTGCTCCCGTTCCTACGCCCTCGGTCACCGCCACCGCGGATGGGCGCTTCGTGCCGCTCTTGGATGGAGGCTTGCCCACTGCAGCAGGCTTCTTCTTCGCGTTGGGATCATCGTCGCCCTCGACCTCGCTGACCTCGGGCTCGTCGTCCTCGGCGATCTCTGGAGACTCGCCGCCATCCTCCTCCTCGTCATCGTCGGCGTCCTCGTCGACGAGGGCGCCAGCAGCCTCGTCCTCATTCTCCGCGGCGGTGTCGTCATCGTCAACCTTCTTGCCGCCACCAGGCTGCTTACCAGACCTGCCGCGGCCGCGGCCGCGGCCGCGGCCCGCTGTCTCCTTCTCTGATGGAGCTGCCGCCGCCCCTGGTGGAGGCTTGCTGGCTGCGGGCCTCTTCATGGCCGCCGCCTTCGCCCTCCTCGTGGCGATGGCCTTCTTCGCGTCCGTGTCGGGGAGCTCCTTCAGCAGCTCTTGCTTGGCCTTCTCCATGTGCTCCTTCTCCCACTCCTGCTTGCTGTACTTCTCCGCCGCCTCCAGGACGAGCTTGAGCACCGCCTGTCTGTTGTGCTCGCCGTACCCCTGGATCTGCCAGACCTGCGTATCTGGCTGAGCCCTGATCGCGAACCACTTGCCCTTATTCGCGTGGCTGATCTCGATGGCCTGCAACGGCTTCTGAGACCTCGGGTCTGTGCCCCTCCACAAGATGCAGTTGGTCTTGTCGACTGGCTTTTCCTGCATGTCGGCGGACGTGTTGGGGATGCACCACTTGTAGCCGTCGGGCCACTTGGCCACCAGCAACGGCTCGGACGGCTCCTTGATCGCCCGAATGTACTGCGGCGCGTCGTTGCCGCCGACAGCGGGGAAGCGCCACGCCGACTAGGGCGGATGAGCAGGACCAACCAGGCAACATCCGAATCGTTGATGCCCAGAAGGGCCTGCGGGTGGTACTCTACCTATGGGGGGGGCGTGGTTGTGAGTTATGGTTTTGCCATTGTTAGGGCGTCGCCTGGACGTGCCCTGCCCATCCGAAGTGCCAACCGTCGGCGCTGTGCAAAATCTCGAGCCCACTGCGGGAGCACAGCTTCCCGTCCTTACTCTTGACGGGCGTAGGTTTCGTATGGGGTCCCTCCTTGGCGAGGACGCGCGCAACGCCTGCGCTCCGCTCGAGGACATGCCATGTCACTCCTACCCCACCGAACCCCGCGGCATGGCCTCGACGGAGACTGGGCGTTGTGCGACGACCACCCCTCTCGTCCTGTGTGCGCTTGCCGACTTTATCTGCGTTTTTTTTGAGTTCGGCTTCTTGGGCTCGTCATCGTCATCCTCGTCATCGTTGCTGCAGTCACCCGACTTGGCCTTCCCGAAAAGATCCTCAGCCCACTTGGTCTTCCTAGCGGTGGTGGCGCGACAGGTTTCGGAGCATGGTTTTGCCGAAAGCTATTCGAGCCGAGTCCGCGCTCATGGCGACGAGAGCCCCGACGCCGACGACGTTCAAGGTGATGTGGCGGGTTGTTTGCAAAGCCGCGGGGTCTTGGTAAGGGCCTGCCCCACGTGCCTCAGCAAGACGCGGATTTGTTTGCTCGTATCGTCCACCCACTTTTTCGAGCCAGTCCGCCCCAAGTGCCAGTGTTTCTCATTTCGCTGCGCCACGCGGGTCAGCACTGCCTTCTGGGAGCCCCCCAAACACTACACGGAGTGCACCGAACCGCTTCATTTCCAATCTCATTCCCCAGCCTCTGACCAGGGAGTGAGTCTGGGAAACGCGACCCCCCCCCCATGCACCGAAACTCGCGCGCCTTAGTCTCGACAGGGTACAACTTGCACGCCACCGTTCTAGTTTCCCGTATCAGAGCTGCATACTTCTCGACACCCGTCTTCGACATCTTCGACTCATGGAGCGGGGCCGTCGTGTAATCGATATAATCTGCCTGCGGCGACGATGCATCATTACCGGTGTGTGTGGGGGGGTAGGCGGGGTGGGGTGGGTGGGGGGGTGATGGGTGAGGCCCCCTGAATTACTGACCCAATCGCCTCATCGATGTGAAAGCTCCATATCCTGAATAGTTTATCTTGTTTAACCTGATCTGCCTCATCATCCTCATCATCGTCCTGGGCCTTCTTGGATTTGGGCGCCATGGCCGCCGAGCCCGCGCTCCGCGGGCGGGAAGACTCCAATCTCACGAGCCAGAGCCGCGATGCCTACATACGGCGTGCGTGCGGATTTCCGATCCGAGCCGAAGGGCGAGCTCAAGCCGACGAGAGGATGAGGTTGCTGAAACCAAGGAGTAGGATGGGGAACTCGGGATCAAGAGAGATGAGAGACATGGGGACGATACCTATGACCTCGCCATTCCTCATCCTCAGTGCATGGGCCATCGCCGTTCACATTGCTGCTGCTTGTGATCATAGCTGTCCTCATCCGCCTCCCGTCATCCCTCCTCCTCTACCTCCCCCGCCTCCTCCGTCCTCGGATCCTGATACGGGTGAGGAGGATGAGATCGATGACGAGGACTTGGGAGAAGGGATGGCGGAGGAGGGAAGAGCGCGAGGAGGAGGAAGGGGAGGAGGAGAGAGGCACCACTCAACAGACACACGAGAATGTGGCGGGGCGGCGGCCGCGCTCCTCGAACTTGTTGATGAGGGGCGCAGTCGCCATCACCGAGGGCCGCTCCTGCTTCGGCGGGGTCTCGAGCGCCGTGGGCCGCTCCTCGGGATGCGAGGTGGGGAGATGCAACAACATCAAATCCCAATGCAAATCCCAATACATTGGGATTTGCATTGGGATTTGCACGGTGGTGAAACTAATGTTTCCAAAATGTATTGCTATTACACCGTCCGTCCTCTGACGAGGTATTGTCGATCTTCCTGGCCTTGGCGCGCGGCGACTTCACGCCTGCTGCGCCGTCCTGCGGGCCCGCCGCCGCGTCCCCCGATGCCGCCGTTGCCTCGCCACTCGCGCGGGGCTCTGCCGCTGCGGCTTGGCTGAGGCTGCCATCGGGCGCGGCGCCGTCTGGCGCCAATGGGCGCCGCCTGTCGCCGCGGCTGCCACCGCTGCCCTTGCCCTTCCCTGTCACCAGCGGTCTGCTGTCGTCGTCGTCGACCCAGTCCGAGGGCCGAGCCAGCGGACATGGCGGGCACGACCCGTCATCGAAAGGGATGCCTTTCCTGGCCGCCTCGTCGCGGCTAGCCTGCATCAAGACCTGAAACGATTGATCGTTGAACCTGTCGATCTCACCCGCTTTCTCCTCTCTGACCTTATCGTCCAACACCTTCTGCGACAACGACTCCACGATGCCCTGGGACAACGGCGACAATGGCGATGGGCGCTGGGCGTCCGTGTACTGCGACTCGGGAGGCACGAGCGGGGGCGAGTCGGTCGGCGTCTCGCCTGGGGCGAAGTAGGGCACGGTCTCGGGCTGCGGCACGGTGTCGGGCTGCGGCGCGGGCGTGTCGTCAGACTCTACGAGGATGGCGCCATCCGAGTCCGCCTCAGCGATAGCACATACGGAGCGGTCGTCGGCGAGCGTCGCCGTATCTGAGCCCGCCGCCGACGCGAGCTCGGTCGTGGCGGCCTGGGACGCCATCAAGCACCTCCCGATCGGCGTGAGCCACGCGCCGCGAGACGGCACGTTGGTGTACGTTGGCGGGGGCAGGTCGGGTTGCGATTTTAACATACTGTGGCCGAGACGGCTGCAGAAAAAAAAAGGGGTGGTTGACAACCGAGGGGGAGGAATGACGGAATGAATTGTCCATCCTCAGATTATCCTCGTCCCTCCTCCTCCCACTCCTCCTCCTCCTCCTCCTCCTCCTCCTCCTCCTCCTCCTCCTCCTCCTCCTCCTCCTCTGTTTCTCACTCCCTCCCCCTTGTTCCCTCCGCTCGTCCTCCCTGTCAGGTGTGAGTTCGACGTGATCCCATGCGGGCGAGGAGGCTTCCACACAGTTCTGCTCACGCGAATCCATTTCAAGTCGTACGCGTGCAAATGTATGGGTCAATTCAAATGTGTGGTGAATTTCGAGTGCGAACCCAGCAAAACATCGCACGAACGCATATGTGTATATGTTGGCATAGATCCGATCCCTCTCCATCTTAGAGGGATCGGATCCATCTTAGAGGGATCCGATCCCTGCGAGGGATCGGACGACCCTCTGGGGATTCGGACTAGGCCTACGCCTAGGACTAGGACTAGGACTGGGACTCGGACTGGGACTGGGACTGGGACTGGGACTGGGACTGGGACTGGGACTGGGACTGGGACTGGGACTGGGACTGGGACTGGGACTGGGACTGGGACTAGGACTGGGACTAGGACTAGGACTAGGACTAGGACTAGGTCTGGGACGGGGCTGGGGTTGGGGATGGGGGCTAGGACTGGGACTGGAACAGGGACTGGGACAATGACCAGGAGTAGGACTAGGACGGTGGCCTGCCTCCGAAGAGGCAGGTCCAAGGAGCGAGAGGGAAGCAGAAAGAAGGGGCATTGCGCTAGTCGCTCACCCCACAGGAGGGCCTCGAGAAGGAGGAGGAGGAGGAGGCGGAGGAGGAGGAGGCGGAGGAGGAGGAGGAGGAGGAGGAGGAGGAGGAGGAGCAAGGAGCGAGGAGGAGCAAGGAGCAAGGAGCGAGGAGGAGGAGGAGGATTTGATTCTCTTCCGCGGGGGGCGAGGCCGACAGCCGGCCAGCGTACGCCCGCAGCAGCCTGTCGACGAAATAGACCACGCTGTCGCACGTCAGGTACCGCAAGGCAAAGGCCCGCGCATTCCCGGCGATCTGCTTCGCCTCCTCGTCGCGCCGCCTGAGCCACTCCACCTTCTCTGCCAGGTCCGCCAGGTCGTACCGCACAGGCACGTAGTGTACGTAGGGCTCCAGCATCGCGTGGACCGCGAACACTTGCCACGGCCCGTCCGGCACAAGCACCACGGAGCTGGTGAACAGCTGCCAGTAGACGCGGTCTGCGGCGGCGAAGCCCTCCACGGCGATCGCGTACTTGTACCCTCCCTGGTCCTTCACGCTCATACGCTCCGACACGAGCATGCTCTCATCGACCAAGAAGCGCTGGAGGTCGGGCGCCATCCAGCGCCTGCCTGAACTTGGCTCGTAGTCCACGAACTTGGCGTCGATCCAAGGCACAAAACGCCCCATCCAGACTAGGCGGCCACGCGGCATCTGCTGCCATGTGTAGAAGAAGAAAAAACGGCGTAGACAGGAGTGGTCGGCGGTCCGCGAGGATTTCTTGGAACTGCGCTGGACCACCCTCTCTGGCGGGCGGCGCGTGCCGGGCGCGGAGGTGGCCCAATGCCTGGCCAAGAAATCCGCGCGGAGCTCCGAAAGCTCACACGTGCGCCGGTCGTTGCTCCTCGAATGTGGTGAAGTTCCACTCGCAGCCCAGAGTGTGGCTGCTGGGGGGCCGCACGCACCTCTCCAGCTCCGCGGCGTCCTCGGCAGCGGCGGTGAGCCTGCAGCGGAAGGTCCGGCAGTTCGAGGCCGTGCCGCGCCACACGAGCTTGGCCTCGCGCTTCTCCCAAGGCACATAGTTGGGGGGCGGAAAGATACGGATACGTGTCGTCCCCGGACCTCTCTTGGGGTGCGTTCTGACCAGAATTTCGAAGCGAACCCAGCGGTGACGACGAGGATTCCCCAGGAGGACCAGGAAAGGCCGAAAACGAAGGGGGGCAACACGTATCCGTATCTTTTTCTCCCCCGACATAGCTCCCGGCCCACACGGCGTCCATGACGTGCCGGTTGCACTGCGCGGGGTGCAACTGCCACTCCACCGGCAGCGCGACGGTGTTGCTCCACCGGGTCCCAACGCGCGTGAACACGGGCACGCCGTCGAAGCCGACGGTCGTGACCTCGTGGGTGTTGAGGACCAGGTCGAAGTCTGGCAGCGAGCCCGTGACCCCAGATATTCGGGGATGGACAGACCCCCCTTTAGCAAAACGTGGTTTAGTGAAAACGACCTGAGGCCCAAACCTGGCGGGCGCAAGCCTGGAAAATAACGGCCACGGCGCAATCTCGAGCACCGGAAACGGACATTTCACCAATCGACGTGTCACTGTTGGGGGTTCTGTCCACCTCCGAGATATGACCATCAGCGCCAGCTTGAAGGCCTTCATGTAGGCACAGTCCTCCGTCGGGCATGCCTCCGCCTCGTCGCACGTGGCCACCTCGCCTCTGCGCGCCGAGACCAGGCACCCCTGAGAGCTGAAGGGCCGCTGCAGGCTGGCCACGGCCACCGCTCCTGCGTCGAGGGAGGCGGCCTCCAGGTGCGCGCTGGCGGCCTCCTCCACGCGGCGTCGGGCGTCGGGGGCCACATGCGAGCCCTACCCATGCCCCCCACGACTTCTGAGGGGGAGGGTGGGGGTCCCTTCGCTCGGGAGCTCCCGAGCGACGTGAACCCCACCCTCCCCCTCAGAAATCGTGGGGGGGGTAGGGGTGGGGCTCGCATCTGGCCCCCTGGTGTGGGCCGGCGCTCCTGCGGGCGTAGACGGGGTAGCAGCACTGCAGGTGCTCCCTGGACACGCCGGACCCGTTGAGGCCCGCCAGGCCCGCGGCGCACTGCGGCTCCGAGCGCCCCGGCAGGGGCGGCTCGCAGCAGTCGCAGTCCCTGCTCCACAGCAGCGGGGAGGCCGGGTGCAGGCACGCGTAGAGCCACAGCTCGGGCGGCCGCGAGGCCATGTAGGCATAGAAGTCTGCATGGGTCGTCAAGACCCCCGCCTCCTGGGAGAGGCCCTCGTGCTCCATCGCTCGGCGGCGCGCACGAGGGGGCAGGGGGAGGGGGGGAAGGCTTCTTAGGAGGAGGCTGCCTCTCAGAAGGCGCGGGCCTCATCTACAGACAAGGCCCGCACCTTCTGAGAAGCAGGGGCGCTCCAAAGATTGAAGCCTTCCCCCCTCCCCCTACCCCCCTCTGCGCGTGGCCGAATCGTACGCGCCAGCTGCCGGAGTCTCTCAATCTTGGCGAGCACCCTGCCCTCGAGCCCCTCGTAGCACTTCCCGTAGCCTGGCGGCAGCGCGTGGCAGCAGAAGTCCTCGGCGACCCAGAGCGAGGCGGCCGAGGCCCTCCGAAGGCCGCCCCAGCAGTCCACGGCGGCGCCGTCCCCGCAGCACTCGTCGAACGAGCACCGGAGGAGGGCCAAGTGAGCCAACGGCGGCTCTGAATGCCCGGCACAAATCCGCTCAAATCCGTCAGCGAGGCTTGTTCCGATTTCCATCCTTGAGGGGCAACGATATGGGTGGGACTGGCATAGGGGGCGACACATCGATCTGGAATCGGCGATGCATCGCCGATAGATCGGCGATAGGCCCCAAATCGTGAATCCGCACGTTCCTGGGAAGGTTGGGGCTACCGGGCCCCTATCGGCGATCATTGGGCCATTGGGGGTCGACGCACCCCCCCCCCTGCCCTATCGTTGCCCCTGAATACTGACCCGTTTCTCGAGGCGGGTCCAGCCGTGGCGACGAGCAGCCGCCAGGAGAGGCCCCGAACGGGCGAAGAAAAAGGCCAGCGAAGGCCGCCGCTGGCCTCGACTGGCCCTGCTCCGGAGAGTAGCTGGTGCCGTACCAGCAAAGCGCGTTGCCCCGCGCCTCCTCCTCTTCTGGAGTCGGCGACTCCGAAGGGTGTGGTTTGCAAAGGGTGTGGTCTGCAACTGGCACCCCGAGGGGCACCCTGGGGGGCGGGCGAGGACCTCGACAGAGCTCTCCGCCGCGCCCCGAGGAGGCCCGACGAAGACAGTGCCGTGCCCCCCAGGGCCCGACGGTGCCGATCGCAAACCACACCTCGGCGTAACCATACCATTTGTAGTCGCCGATGGCGGAAAAGAAAACGAGGGCCATGACCACGACGAAGCGCGGAGTCGTCGGTGCTGGTCTCGGTCAT